TAATCTCGAGTTGACTAGATGAACCTTAGGACCAAGGATCGACCACCATTATATGTAGTCCTATTTGGTCCTCTCCAAATGTCATCGATCCATTTTTCTTCAATATTTACATGACACTTCTTCTGTATACTTTTCAACGCAAATTCAGTCAACCAAATTGACCTGAGTCAACCAAATATATTTCTCGTTCTACCTTTTTCACGTTACTTCTTCTCTATACTTTGAAACGTAAAATTTGAGTCACAATTCGTCAAACACATTCAACAATTGGAGCAATTTGACAAACTTGCGATTCACGGACTAATTTTATATTAATAATAGCTATACTAACAATAATAAATTATAAAAAGTATGATTTATGATTCAATAGTAATTATAGTATTTCTTACTATCTTAATGATAACAATCAGCATTTACATGTTTTTATTCAAAATATAATTATTTAAATATAATAAGACATATTATAATAATTCTAAAATTTATCTTACACACTAACCCCTTCCTCCTTCCTTTTTTCTCTCTTCTTGCACCCCAAATTGAGGGGTTAAGAGGAATAGTGATTTAACCCCCAATTTGCTCACCCTAACACTATTGCAAATTAACCAAATGGGGGTAAATGCATTAGAAATGACATTTACCCCCCAAAATTTGCACCCTCCTCCCTTTGCAACTCTAGCCAAAAATGGGGGTAAATTTGCAATTTACAAATTTGCTTCCTTGTTGCGCTAACTTCCCTGATGCCATGCTTCAAATAGAATAGCCTTGTAATTTGGGTGAGACAACCACTTAGCAATAAAACTTGAAGGGCTTAGTGATGAGACAAACATGCAAGTGATAAAAGTTCTAATACTTAACTACTCACACAATACCATCAATGTTGGAAAAAGAATATTAAAGACTTTTCATTCGAGTAAACCAAGCAAAGTAAAACGAAGCAAGATGAGTAAAGTGTGTTTAGGGGTTTTCCAAGTTATAGAGATGCATAAAAATAAAGATACATTTTTTAACAAGAAAACATACTAGAGTACTATCAAATATATGACTACTCCTTCATATAATCCATCAATGACTCATCTATAGCATTACTTTATCCCTTCTATTGAGGCCATCCTACTCGAGATTTCGCCACATGCAATATGAACTTGACTAGTTAATGCATGCTTTTGCTTCATGTCATCACCTAATCAATGAAGAACAAAGAAGTGAGGATAGCACATGATTAAGTGTGAGCCTCTTGATTCATAATAGATGGTCTATAGCATTGATGATCAAGCCATCAAGTACCAATACTAATTGAGATATTGATGGCTGATCATTCCCTCTATACTCGTGCAACATCAATGGGGCATCACTAGAGAGTAATTTCTTAACAACCTACATGATACTAATCACAATGCATATAGTAGCATACTATAGAGTCATAAGCATCGATGATAAGAAAGCATTCATACTAGATAAATACCAATGATTATCAAATAAGCATTAAAACCAAAACTTCCATGCGTACATCATAAGCAATGAAGTTCATAAGCATAAACACAAGCATCATATGAAACCATAACATCAATACATACAAAGATAAACGAGTTCGCATTCTTATACAATCATTGTCAACTAGCTATACATATAAGAGAAGGAGGGTACCACCATCGATGATGAAGGCACCTCCTTAGCTGCACCCTCTCCTATGAATGCTAGGCTCTCAATCGAGAATAGTGTCTAAACATATTTTGAGTGGAATTTTGCAACCTAGTGAACTTATGAGTCTAGCTCTCTATTTATAATGCTATAACTCTGCCAAAACCTTCCTAACCCTACTAGGACACAGTTTCCGTGACTTGGGACCGAAGCATGGCCTAAAGATCTCTTGTTTTTGCTTGTGCCTTTGAGTGGCGTGTGTGATCCTGAATTGCGATCTAAAACTATTTCCATTAATGTTCAAAGAAGAAACCAAGACAAGGGAAGAAGTTTGTGGTAACTACTTTGGAGGCTTGCTCGTTTTCTTTGGGAGACATATGAGGAAACGAAGGAGTTGGAGGTGAAATTAGAAGTGTTTCTAAGCATCATGAAGGCGTTGGTTCTTCGATTTGGAGCTTCTTGGACACTAAACGAGCAGTTTGAAGATCGTACGGTGACCAGTCACAATCCACGGTCAAGAAGCCAATTCCACGATAGTGAAATTGAAGAACAGAAAGTGGATATTGAGCAGGGAAGTTCCACGGACAGAGACCCAAATCCACGACCATGGAATCAAGGGTAGACCGTGGATTTGCAACTGATGAGTTACAATTACCTTTTTTGCTTAGGATTTTGTTTCTTTTCGGATTTTTTGTTATTTTATATGCCCTACACTATATAAAGGGCTTGAGACACAGATTTTTGGCAGATTTTTATGAATATTGATATTTCCTTTATTCTCCGAGCTTTAGACTTGAGAATTTTTTGCTTTGTATCAAACAAGTTTTCCCCTTGATTGTGGCCGAGCTTCTACTTTTTATATTATTGGAGTCTTCTCCCATCTTGTGTTGAAATTGCAATTTCAATTCCATCCTATCCAAAACAAACATAAACCCCTAATAATCTCTTTTCTTGTTCTTACTTGAAGCTGCGTTACTTTGATAACTACGGGTGTCAGTTCCGTGATTATATCATGGCAGTAGGAACTAATGTTGGTTTTCTTCGTGGGTTGGACTCCTTGGCCTGCAAGCAACCCATTTTGAAGATTTTTTTTTGCAATTTATCCATGTTTGCTTGGGCAGCGGTTGAACCTGGCGTTAGGCCAGCATCGGTTCTTGCTTTAGTTTGGGCCGAGTATTCCTCCATTGAGCTCCTCTTGAGCCCTACTCGTGGTTACTAGTAGGCTTCTTCGACAAAGTACCTCGTCTTTAGCGTGAAAGCTCTATATGCTTCTCTATATAGCTAGTAGGCTTCTTCGACAAAGTACCTCGTCTTTAGCGTGAAAGCTCTATATGCTTCTCTATATAGCTCATTTAGCCCTCCAAAGTCATGCAATGCTTGATCCAAATCCTTTTAGGTTGTTTTGTACCTTAAAACCATTAAAAATACAAAAAAGGAATCAAAGAGTACAAAAATACAACCTAATTCTATTAAATGCTCACTTATTAAATAGTTATGATTTAGTTATGAAATTCAAGAGAAAGCACTAATAATGCATTGATAAAAGAGGAAAATGTATCAAAATGAGAGTGATAAACATTATTATCACTTATATGATTTTTCTGGTACCACTAGTGTAATATAAATGCCACAATGATCCGAAAAATCAGATGGAAAAAAACTCAAGTACACAATCAAAATACTAAAGAGCCGTTCATAACTAACCAACATTATGTCTAGCATCCTGGAAATGGGATTCCCTCTTTGTTGGTAAACAGAGTACTCGTAGGTAGGGCTGCAAACGAGCCGAGTCGAGTCGAGTTTTTGCTTAGCTTGAGCTCGGCTCGTTTATAAAATTTTTAGCTCGAGCTCGGCTCGAACTCGAATTTTGATCATCCAGCTCGCGCTCGAGCTCGACTCGATTAAAAATAATCCAGCTCGAGCTCGGCTCGATAGAGCTCGATAAATGCTCATTAACACAGCTTGTCAAGCTGAGTACAAGCTCGACTCAAGATAAGCTCGATTTGAAACCATTCTTGCTGAAATATGTATACAAATAAGAACATTAGAAACTAAAAATGATAAAAAGAACACTAGAAACTAAAAATAACATCTAACTTCCATACATATCCTTATTAACAAGATAATTTTCATGTTTAGAAGAGTAATTAATCATTCCACAAGCTTTAAACAAGCCAGCTCGCGAGCTTAGCTCAACAAACCACCGAGTCAAGCTAGCTCACGAGCTTATCAAGTCGAGCATGGCCTAGCTCAAGCTTGGCTCGTTTACTAACGAGCTGGCTCGCGAGCCGGCTTGTTAATTAACGAGTCGAATGTCGAACGAGTTTTTTCCGATTCGAACGCCGAGTTGCTCGCGAGCGGCTTGGCTCATTTGCAGCCCTACTCGTAGGATTATGATCTACCAAATCCATCTCATCAACCCAATCCCTAAAAACTCTCATACTGCTGGATATCTAATTAATACTTGAAGCTTCCATAAGAGATAGAATAACATTGAAGTCACCTCTACCATCCATGCAAACCCTCTAACCATCCATCTGCTCAATATCTTATATGTCTCCTCTCTTTTTTCCTCGGTATTAGAACTATACACCATAGTTAAAAAAGCTAATACCAGTAGAAAACCCGAACTATTTAGAATGTGTCATTTATGTTCTAAAGTATCCAATATGACATTTGTGTCATAAACTATTTTTTCGTTAGAGTTTACCGACGTTGACCATTAGTATTTAACAAATGACACATTTTTAATAGTTTGGGTTAGGTCATAAATAACACGAAACTATAATAGGTTGAGACATAAATGACACAAAACTATAATAGGTTGGGACACAAATGTCATATACTTTATGACACAAATGACACATTCTTAATAGTTCGGGTTTCCCAGTGATATTAGCCTTAAAAAAAACTGAACTAAATGCTCATTATTACCAAAGCATTGATGAAATTCATCTCACCAGCCAACGTCCGTATTACCACATCAAAATCACCAGCTAGCCAGATTCTACCCAATCTACTTTTCAATTAATTAAACCCCATAAACTTATCTTTTCTCACATTTGCATTTTTTTATTGAACGGAAGTTTCTAGTATTGCAAACAACTTAACTCTATACTTATTAACGGGCTAAGTTCAGGTTCTTAAGTCTTAAAATTTAAGAAGTAACTTAAGTGATTCTTATTGGCTTAGAGCATTTTAGGTAGTTAATAATTGGTTAGTGGTTATTTGATAGTTAAGGGTAATTAGGGTATTAGAGTATTTTTAAATTAGTGGCCGAATGATAAGGGGTTTATTATGTTATGTTTTCTAATTTCCCTTTGAATTGTTTCCTCCCACGTCTCTCAAAATTGCGGTTGAACCTTCGCCGTCGAGAAATCTCCACCGGTTGATAATAACGAAGGAGGAAGAGAATCGTGTGTAAGTCTAGAGCAATTGCTTCCATCAAGAACAACTCCACGGATACTATCGACGCCACTGCCAACCGCATCATGTCCGTCGAGAATCGATCTACTCGTGAGGCTTCCGCCGCTGCCGATTGACCTTCTTCCCGTCGTCATTGAAACCACGCCAGTCGTTGGTCGTCATATCGTCGTTGGAACCCAGACCCGCCGTTAGTCGTCGTGTCATGATGGATTGTCTATTCTCGTTGCCGACTAGTCATCGCCTCATCGGTAACGTCCCCCAGCCACTGTCGACCACCTCCAGTCCGCCGCTCCCGTTGTTCAACAACCCTCCGTTGATTTTGTTTTACCAGGTAATTAAGCTGCTAACCCTAAAGTTTGTTACGATTATAAGATTTAAGGTTTTTGGTTGCATGTTTAGTGTTTTTTGTTACCTACATTTTGTCATTTAATTGTTAATGATTTGGAAGGGTCTGATTAATTTGTTATAATGTTATTATCAACTGTTTTGTTATAATTCTGAGGGGTCTATCGAACTATATCATTAATGATTTTTAGGATTCATATTAACTTTGTTGCGTGCTTAGGGATTTTTTGTTAACTGCCTAGGGCTTTGGTAATAATACATGAAATTTATGCTAATTTAAAACGTGGCGGTATATAGAGAAAACAAAACCACAAGCAATTATCAATGCTGAGGGGTCTTAGTTTAATGTTGAATTGTCAATGATTTGGAGGGTTCTTATTAATTTGTTATAATGTCATTATCAATTGTTTTTATGTCTGAGTTGTTTTTGTGATTTATGGTTCGTTAGTAACATTTTTATATTTGGTAATAATTTCATTTTTGTATGACGTAATGTAATTGTAATTGAAGCCAATCACTGTTAACTTATAGGTTTTCATTATCAACGGGATACAACCTAGTAATCCACTTTTTTTGTGTTTGTTGGTAATTAATGGGGAATCGACTATTTGTAACAACTTTTTTTTTTTTGCATTATTAACATGTTTATAATATGTTAATAATTTGATCGCATTGTAAATATAATTTAACCGGATAAGTAATATAATTAAAATTTTTGTTATTAACGGAAGTGATTTGTTACGAAATTAAAGTTTTGTTATTAAAGTTTTTGTTACCACTAATAATATTTTATTATTAACTATTTTGTTCCCCTCCTTAACCATTTACTTTAAGTTATTAACTTGTTTAACACTACTATTAACGTTCTATTATAAATTTTCATTATTAACTTTTTCAATACCAATTAGAACGGTTAACTATTTTAATACTAGCACTAGCACATTTCTAGTCTCATTTGCATTTTTATTATGAACTTTTTTGTTACCATTATTAACCTTTTATTTTAAGTCATCCACGGTTCTGCTACCATTATGAAAGTTTAATTATTAATACTTCAGTTACCAATTCGAAATTTTTAACTGTCCTGTTATTAAAGTTTTTGTTATCATTATTAACATTTTCCTCGCTCATTCTGATTGCAATGAGTTTCCTTTTTTAATGTTTGTTTGATTGAATCACAGGTGCACTATGTCACAAGTGTCGAAGATCTTGAAGATCTATATTGTGATTCATGATCACTGAGAACGATATAGAAAGCAATATCAATTGATTGCAAAATGTTAACAACGTCATTAGAAGTCATTGGAAAGGGCCATGACTAGATAGTTATAAACATGACATGAAAATGTGAATCATTGGTAAAAATATTGTAAATCAATAATATTGCACTACTCAAACTTTTAGTGACAATTTTATATGAATTTAATGATTCATTCACAAGCAATGATGACAAAAATGTACAACAGTAATAATTGATCCACAATTGTTAATAATGTAATTGTAAAAAATTGATAAGTATATTGAAAATATTAATAATGGGTAGGTATAGTAATAATTATTTATTTTATAAATGTTGATAATGTCATTGCAAAACGTTAATACTACATTGCAAGTTGTCTCAAAATGAGAGAGAGCATGTATTTTTAATTTCATAAAAGTTAATAATGTCATTGTAAAACGTTAATAATACATTGCAAGTTGTCTCAAAGTGAGAGAGAGCGGGTATTTTTAATTTTCATTTTAAGAAAGAAAAAACATTAAGTCCGAATTTATTAAATATTAAATAATAATATTTAATTTAATTAATTCCGAATTTCCTTTTAATGATAGTGACGAGAGAGGGTTATCATTATGGAGAAGGTTACGGAGGAGAGAGAAATAAAATTATTAATTATTAGTATTCATTATATTTGCATAATACCACATTTACCCTCAACTAACAATTAACTACTAACCACTATTAACTACCTAATCCATATTAGCCAATGAGAATGACTTAAGAAAATGCTTAAACTTATAGACTTAAGCACCGGATCCAACCCGCTTATTAACATAATGCAACACATAACTATGCTTTAAGAGGCTATTAAATCCCCTCTCGTTCCATATGAGGATACTCATCTATGAGTTGGGACTGCCTTAGCAGCCTCCTTCTAACTTCTTAACCCTTCTCAACCAACTTTTCTACCTGGAACTTGAACCAATGTGTTTTGTTGCAGTTCTAGGGCGCAAAGAACTTCAAACAAATTGGTTTGAAGCAAAGAAGTACCTTCCTGAGTTGATTATCAGGCTTTGGTCACTTGACAACTGCACGGAAGAATTCCTGCATCAAGCAAGGCTTAGGTGTACACATCACCAAAGCTGTCAAAATCAGGATTTTACCTAAATTCGAAAACTGGGATAAAACCAGAATAGTAAAATAGAATCATAAAATCATAGAATTTTAAGTACCATATAAAACATAACCTATAATAATATTAATAAGGTAAATCATTAATAACACAAAGACACATAACATTTAAAATTATAATTCTCAAGATTTTTTTTACAAAAGATAATTCTCAAGATTAATGTTCCAAAATCACTATTTTAATTGTTATTTAATGCGCAACTCAAATAATTCATGAGGAAGGGATAAAACTCAATGGGTTTGTCTATTGTTTTCATTTTGTCTAGGTAATTTAACTCAAAGTAATATTCTGACATCGTCTAAGTATGATTTAAAATTAAAAATATTTGAACTCCAATAAAATAAGCAATGTTAGTGGCTGAGCCCTAATTTGGTTATTTCTTACGTACTTCCAATATATTAGGATAATTTTTTTAATTCTCACTATATTAATAAATTAATTAGTTAATAATAATGTTAATTCTTACGTACTTCCAATATTAGGATAACTGTTTTACCAATAAGTTAAATGAGGTGAAGGGAAAGGAATTGAGCGAGCCCTAATTTGGTTATTTTTATTATTTTTAAATATTTTTAATAAAAAAATATCTGAGAAGATTCTCGTCAGTTCCCTTTCCCCCAAAACAGTTATGCTTCTTTTAAATTGGTTCAAACCACCTATTTTTTTCTCATACGATCAAAATCCCGATTTTTGTACGATTTTATGATTTAACGATTTTAAACAATTTTAAGGTCCACCGATTTTACAGTAAAATCAAGATCGGAATCCCAAAGTAAAATCCTAAGATTCTACGATATAAAAATCCTGATTTTACGATCAAAATCCCGATTTTGACTGCATTGCACATCACATTAACCTCAAGTGGACTTTCTGTAACTCCCTGATCTTTTTTAACCAAACAAAATACTCGTGACTCCAGAGCCGATTTAAAACAACCTCAAAATTTCATTAAAACAAATACAACTGAATACTTTTCAAAAGAAATGCCCTAAACATTTGGGCAACCTCAATCCATAGTCAATAAAACCACCTAAATTATGAACTTTGAACCTCCAGTATATACTCATAATCATGAATCATAAAACAACTAGCCTGGCCCCGGCCAGTTGGCCGGAGGAAGGTGAGGTATGAAATTTGATAATGTAATGGGGTGTATAGCTTATTGTTGTATAGTTTTTTTGGGAAACACGTGATAAAAATAGTGAATTTTAGCAGGAAAGATACATGAATGATGCAACGAATCAAAAATCGCCCTTATAAACCAAAATCAAGTACCTGTTACCTTGTGAAACAATATTGTTTCTGGTAATATGATGAGGTGGAGTAATTTTTATAGAAATTGAATTCCAGAAAATCGAATAAAAAATCGCCTACCCCATCGGTTTTCGGGAAATGAGCATCTCACAATCGTTGCTAGCTTTTGCTCGGCCCGTTGGCCGATTAATTTGCTTTATAAAATTTTCATCTTGTCGTCATTGTGCTTTCTGGTTTTTGTCAGGCCATGATAAAATCTAAGAAAATCAAGAACGAACAACACGATTTGGGATAGGAACCGCCATTGTCGTATCCATAGAAAATGGTGGTAAACACGGACTCACCTGCCAAACTGGTTTGGATTGAGATTTTTATCGGGTATCAGGGAACCATATGATTATAAATTTGACTTGATCAAAACGGTGCAAAACTTGAAATTCAACCTGTTTGACCGACTCATGCCAAATTCTAATTATTCTTTACTTTTAAACTTTCTATTTGAAAATAAAAAGTAGTGAAAGAAAATAGATGAATGCAATTCGCCATTTGCACATCACTTATTCGGGAATAAAATCATAGAAATTCAAAAGGAACTGAAAATGTTTAGGATCGTTTTAATGTTTAAAATAACCAAATAGATATTTCTGTTTAGTTTTTTTGCTAACAAATACCAAACGACTCCCTATAAAATACACTATAATTTGATCATTATGATATCAAATAATTATATAATATATATTTGAAATGATAAAAATTGAACTAATTGGGTTGGTCGAGGTTGAACCATTGAATAACTTTAAGATACATTATATTTTAGCCACTAAGATATAAAATAATAGCATAATATATATTATGCCGGAGAAAATAGCTTGTTTTAGAATGTCAAACCAATGATGTTCATTTGTCTTACTTGATGGCCAAATCCCGTGTCGGTCAGGCCCATTCAACTATTTTATTTTATGGTTAGCGGTTGGCCCATTAGATAGCATGCATTAGTTTATTTTTAAATTTTTTATTTTTAGCAATAAAAAGAAGTATTGTTTTTGCCTTTTCATATATATTTTATCACCACGGAGAAATAAAAGGGCTTAAAGAAAAAAATTGACACTCCTAGACCCGTTTAAATCCGCATGTGTACGGTAAGTTGGCCCGTTCCACAGAGAAAAGAGAAAAACATTGAAACTCCCTATTATACCCTTCCTACAAACGCTCCTGGAGCAGGGAATTTGAAATGGGGGAAGGGTTCTTTCCTCCCTGCTATTATATGTTTTTAATTTAAAAAGATACAACAAATGTACTTAGTATGTTTGGTTATGATCCTTGCTTTTCTTTAAAATGGTCATGGTTCGAATCCCAGTACGTGTCTTTTTAATGAAAAAAAAAGTAATTGTGAAGACCAAAATGTCCTTTCTACTTTCACTCTCGTTGCAGGAAATTTGAAATGGGGCTCCCGTTTTTCCCTTCGACGTATTATATTATGTGTAGACTAACTAAAACTAACTCTAGCTCCTCGTTGAGCTCCCTACGACCTCGCCAATGCTGGTGCGGCTTCTCGCCCCGCCTCTTCTCGAAATCCTCATCAGCTAACCCTTCCTCAACCTGGTGAGTGAGAAGGGGTCAGTCTCGTCGTTACTTCCTAAGGTCTTGCCCTAAGCAAACCCTTACTAACACATTATTAGCGGGATTCCTTTCTTAGACGAAAGTCGTTCTCGTTTTCATCCTTAAAAACTTAATTTCAACACAACTGTCAACTAATAGCAGATCTTTACTCCTATCCTTGTCCCATAGAAGTTCTCAACTTCTATCCTTAATACTTTATTCCGACATAACTCATAGAAGTTCTCGACTTCTATCCTTAACTCAAACACAAGAAACTAGGACCACCGTGTTACGTCTCACCGTCCGGTGCCCTAATCTAGTATGCCAACCGCGTTACGTCTTGTCGTCCGGTTGCATACACAAACTCGGCAATGGCAACTCGGCAATGGCACTGCATTACGTCTCGCCCTCCAGTCCATGCCGGCCAACTACTGCGTTACGTCTCGCCGTCCAGCAGTGATCCGACCAACTACCGCGTCCAGTAGTGGCCCAACCGCTCGGGGGTTCATCATACGAATAACCATACATCACATACATAGCACAACGCGTGCCTCCACCTTAAGTAGGCGGTGGGATGCCTCACACACATGATCACGCTTACTTGAAAATAACAAACATAACTGAATTAAAAGAAATAAACTATAAGACCTCGACGGAGATTTTACCCCCTTTACACTCACCTTATTATCCAGGCCAGTTGACTGGAATCGAAATCCACACTAACTTCTCGATAGTTTGACTCCTTTCTCGTCGAAGACGTCTGTCTCCCAAAGCCATATCCCATTACGTAAACATATATGTACCCTCGCATCTAATCCTCGGCGACGTTGTCCCTTTATGAACCTCGTCATACATCGTTGTGTAGTCCTTGCCACAGATCGAACACATCACACTCCAATCAGCTTATATAGTTGTCGGGTGAAGGCAATAAAGCAAGCAAAAGCTCACGTACGAGAAGAATTATAAAACAAATGCGACA